CAACTTGGCAACGTAGTAATTGATACACTCAACGCCCGCTAATTCAAATGTCTGTTAGATCAGTGCTTCCCAACCTTTTTATTGCCGCGGACAGGTCAAGTTTATCACTTTATCGAGGCCTTCTGGGAAGGGACGTTGTTTATACTTTAGGTTGATATGATTTAACAATTTAAATTTAATTGTATTTAAATATGTCTTCAAAATTAAATAAATATGCAAAAGATGAATATAATTTCATTTAAACATGCCTTCAAAATAAAATACAGTTACACAAAAAAAATGAATATAAAGTAATTTAAAATTTTAACTTACTAGTATGAGGAAGTAATAAAAAAATACAAATAAAAGTAATGATTTTCTGTAGTATTGATGATATCGTAGGAACGTTCATAACAGCAAGAAATTTATTTAAAGCATTAAAGCAGTTTGACCAAACCCTGAACCTTTAAATAAATAAAATTATATTAATTATAATAAAAAAATTATAAACATAACAAATACTTATGTATTTTTTTTTAAATTTACCTAGAACTGCTTTAGTGTTGACATCTGAATGCTTAACTTCACTTTTTGTTGCATGAACTTTGTCCGTAGGTACTATAGTTTCAATATTACATTCATTATATTTAACATTTAAAATTGAATAAAGGCCCTTTCGTGTTCATTTGTAATATTTTCAAGAGAAAGAACTCTTTCACACCAACAACATTTAAAATCTTTTCCCAACTCGTAATTCCACGATGCGACCACTGCACAGGTTATTTTTCAAGCTTGGGGTTCCCTTTCTTAATTTTTTTGCATAATTCATAGCCAAAATTGATTTTTTGCGTTTGTTGAGGACATTCTGCTTAACAAATTTTCCTTTATCTCGCAATTAATTGATCCTGACAATGAAACATTTTGATATTTGCATTTATTTCACTTTAGGAATACAGTTGACGTTTCACAATATATTTACGACGTTGCCGGATGGATCTTACGCGATATAATACCATATTTGTATATAGGATCACATGTGTTGTGTGTACAGTCCACTGATCTATATTATTTTACTGGATAGGATATAGGCTATATTTAACATACTAAAAATCCGTTCCACCAAGGAGACCGAAAGTGCAACACTGCTGGCCGATTTGGGCAAATTATGGTGGGATCACATAACTGTAATTTGACATACCTAACCTATAATTTGTTTAGTTTTTCTTCTTATTCTTCTTCTATTCCTTTTGCGGGCAATGTCCTTCGGGACAATTCACCCATAATTTGATTTTTTTTATTAAAGAAAATATAAAAATGGAAACGTGAAGCATATTGTGTCTTCACGAATACAGTAATGCTATTCGATACTACCTAATTAAATAAAAACAACATATCATCGTAACTTATTGACACAATTAAATGACAAATGGAAATAGAGGTTATGTTAAATAACATCCGGTCCGCCATATTATTTGCCCAAATCGGCCAATTTTTCGGAACGTTTTTTAGAGGGCTATATCCTATCCAGTAAAATAATACAGATCAGTGGTACAGTCTGTTACAAAAATAATCTTTCTTTAGATTTAAGAATCTCGAACGGTTGGTATTCACTATAGGGCGATATTTTTGTGTACGACTGTCGCGAGTGAACTACCTTAGATGCACTATTTAGATGGGAAATCGCATTCTCTACAAAAAAAATCCTATTAACTTTACCTGAATTTTGCTTCGTTTTCGAGAAATAAATAAAAAACTTTATGGGTTGCATTTTTACCCCTAATTCCAATGTCCACCCTCAATAGCACTCCGTGGTTTTTTTATCTTTAATGACCATTTAAATGAATGATGTGATAATTCCTTATTGTCCCGTTTTTTAGGACATAATCAATAGCCTATCAAAGTAGAATAAAAAACCTTTTTATTTATGATTTTTAAACGAAAACTTTACGACCACGTAAAAGGTTTTACCAGTGACGTTTTAGTTCAGTATTAACTCAAATTTTAACCCCAAACTTTTAATATTGACATTATGTTTATTTTAATTAATTGTTTCTTTTTAAATAAAAAAAGTAACTCCATGGTTTAAAATTTTCTTAAATTATATTTATTATATATTAACATTTCCACTGAAAACATTTCATGATAATCTCGTTTAAAACATTTCAGTCCATCTAGAGGAAGTATTACAATTTTTGAACAAAACATGAGTAAATATTAGTCCTATTAAAAAGTAAAATGGATTGTTCTATGCACTTATAAATCGTTTTTTCTTTTCATCTGAAAAATGTTGATTTTACCATGTACGAGGTCCTGTCTTTGTGACGAAGGCACTAAATTTTATTTTTAATTAATTTTAAAAATGTATATTTTAACTAATTCCCGCCTGAGGACATGTAGAAGATCTTCCCAGGAATTCCCGTTTTTAAACAATTGCGAGAACCCTCGTAGGTTAAAATAGGTCTATATTTGCCGAAATCCGAATGGGCATTTGTAGATTCAATTTCGTATCAATTATCTACTTGTATTTGTCAAGGTACTAGTAGGACATTTTTTTTCTAATTGTAAACAGTCGGCTGTAGTGATGGTATCTCCCACTCCGGATTACCGGTCTTCAAGCTTGCCTATGGAAAAAGCATACATTAATTGTGAAGTGATAATTTGTCCTCTTCTGTTCCCGACCAGCGACGTCTCGGTGAAGTTTTCTAATAGTGACAGTGCCGTTAATATTGTAGTGAACTATTCCCGTTTTTCTAAGGTTGGAAACTGATTACCATTTTACAATTAGTTTGGGACATCCGTCCAATAAGTGAGAGAATTTTGATTCATATTCAGAATTTTCATTTCATCCCTTAGTGGAAAACCGTTGGCAATTTTTATTTGAGGCTGGATATAGGCTTGACTGTCAGTGCTCTCAATTTCGACGACTCTATCCAATCTCTTTTAAGAAACGCCCAGTTAACACTGGAGTGAGAGGTTCATCCCGTTTAAATTTTTTTTTTTATTAACCGACTTCAATAAAGGAGGAGGTTCTCAATTCGTCGCAATATTTCCAATTTCAATGATTCTTTCTTTCTTAGTAAGGGGGTACTTCAGGGGTGGTCCCATATGAATTTGGTCAAAATCTAATAATTGGGTCCATGAGAAAATCCTCAAGCTCTTCATTTTTTTATGTATGTTTAGCGATAATGCTTTACCACCTTGTCCGATTTATATGATTCTTTTTTTGTTAGTAAGGGGGTACCTCAGGGGTGGTCCTTTATAAATTTGGTTAAGATGTGGTGATGGCATCTGCACGTTTTTGAAGTCGGTTTTTTAAATTTTTAATTTCTAATACTTGTTATCTTTGAGAAGCCGCCCAATTTATTTTCTTTTTCGGAGGTTCGATCCGTCCTCGAGTCATGAGTGCTCTCTATCTCGACGACGTTATCTAATTTCCTTAAACGACGTCTAAATTAATTTTCGCGCCTCACTTTGTGTAAGTTTCTTTTTTTTTATTTTATTTATTCAATTTTATTTTAATCATTCCGTTTTTCATCACCAACTAATTTTTAAACGAAGCCCTTAATTTTCTATCTTTTCCAATTCACACACCGCTTTGATCGGTTTTGGCAAATCTCAAAATAATTATTACTCTAGCCATCGCATATTTCGTCCAAACGCCGTGGTAGATAATTCTTTCTCGATGTCGGACCGTCACCGATGATCGGTTAGAACTCGAATACAGGGGGGCGCCGAAAGTTTCATTCAAATGTATAGTAGTGTTTGCCTGTACTGTACTTACAAAAAAAAAATAAAAAAAAAATGTCCTACTAGTACCTTGACAAATATAAGTAGATAATTGATACGAAATTAAATCTACAAATGCCCATTCGGCAAATATAAACATATTTTTACCTAAGAGGGTTCTCGCAATTGTTTAAAAACGGGAATTCCTGGGAAACACAAATACGGGGGGGGGGGGGGTGGGGATCTTCTACATGTCCTCAGGCGGAAATTAGTTAAAATTTAAATTTTTACAATTTACACCTTATGGTCCTCAATATGTCAAAATGATCTGGATACTTAGAAGACTATTTGGTTATCTTAAAAGTAATTTAGTATTCTTGGATTTTAATTTGAAAAGGAATATTATCTTTTATAAATTTAAAATTAAAATTTGGAGGTGGACGTTTCAATATAACCAACTTTTTATTGATAACCAGTCGTTCTTGATAGTCAAAGGTTTCCTACATCAACCTAAACAAGAAAATTGAACATAATTGTATGTATTTAAGTGAAGTAAAAGTTTGGAGGCGAATTTGAGCCATTAATGTACTGAAACACCACTGGTAAACAAACTCACTTTAAAAATAATACAAATTCTATTTTAGTTTGCTTTAAAAATCTTTACATTTGCGTAATCTGTAATATTTCTAATCGTTCAGCGATTTATATGACAAAAACGGTTTCATATGTCAACAGATTTTTTAATGTTTCTAAACTTCCAGTCGAATATTTTGTAGTTTTATAATAAAAAGACAAAAGATAGAGTTTGGCGCCATAGATTTGCTAAATAAAGGCAGAATCAGAATCATGTGTTTTGCTGTGTCTCTTGTAAATTTTTTTTTGTTCTTACCTGCTAAGGTGATGTTATTCAAACGTAAAATCTATCTGCTTTGTAAATATATCATTTAATTACTTTCAATCCTTAAAAATCTTATTTACACACTTGCATGTGTTGCTTGAGGATTGCAAGATTTCTGACATGAGAATAATTCACTTAATTTGCACAATTTCTTATATTGCGTTACAGCAAAATTATATGTGTTCTCGACTCTGTCATTTCAAGGCTTTTAATTGTCACAATATATTAACCTATTTCTCATTTAACCAACAATTGTTATTGCAAAAGAATTATGCATTACTATAAAGACCTTAAATACCCTCTAGGAACCCTTGTTAAAAATAAAACGCCAAGTTTCCTGTAAATAGTATTTTTTACAATTGAATCCATTAGTATTCATTATATATTTGTTCAACAGGTCCAGTATACTCTTAATGACGTAAAAGGCAATACTGACACAGTCTCCAACAAAATGACCCTCAACAACATTTTCACTATTGCCAAACGTAACGTGGAAGGCCAAGATATGCTGTATCAATCTCTTAAATTGACAAATAATATTTGGGTCCTGCTTGAACTCAAATTGCAACCAGGCGTTCCAACGGCCACTTTGAGTTTGAAGTCGAGGTCCGTAGAAGTTGCTCCATACGTATTTCAAGCTTATGAATCTATCTTAAAGAATTAAATTTATTTTTAAGATATAAATCAACTAGAAATTATATATTTTATTCACTCATTTATTTCATTCCAAATGTAATTGTATTTTTAAGTTTTAAGTGATATTGCTGTTAAACTATATATTATCTAGAATAAAAAGTATGTTAACCTGTGGTTTAATCTTTGACTTATCATTAAATAATTACAAGTTTTTTTCTCCAACACCTTACCCTATTCTTAGTCTTTTTATTCGCAAGTCTTCTCCTTCGTTTCATTCATTGAATTTTAACAATGGCCATCTTCACCGTCGTCAAATGCTTGTAATGGTGTGTAATCAGTGACAATGAACTGTCAACCGCTTCACTGTTTTTTGAATCATGATGGATATTCATTAAAGGGCAAATAGAGTATGCTTATATCATTGATATGACAACCTAGAGATATGACGTGAGAGCAATTTGTCAATATTATAGGTTATCTTTCTAGTGACATTTATTAATTAAATTTAATTTTTATTTGTGCTTATAAAGATTTTTGTGAATAAACGTTTTGTAAGGAAAAAATTTGGAAACCTTTAAGATAAGGCCTTTTGTTCTTAACAAACACGATAATAAAGAATAATTTCTATTAAAATACTCAAAATTTCACCCATCGAAAACAGATGTCTATCATGACCTGAAGGCCATGTGGTTTATTAATAATATTTTACAGCAAATGTCAAGCCTGTTCTTAAACGAAACCCGGGTGGTATCTCAAAGAAGTTACATAAATCTTTTGACTCACCATTGAAAATACAGACATTAGATTATGTACTAATTTCATCTAGCGTTGTGACGTCGTCGATTTAGGTACGTCGCAGCGTTAAGCGTTGAGGCGCCTAGCGTCGTGGTGGAAAGGAAGGTATTTAATACGGCACTATATTGGGACAGATATACGGTAGAATTATGTAGGTGGTGCGGGACGTGATATTGTGAAGGAAATACTTACGGACGGCAAGCTTCGGAAATAAGGTGTGGGACGTTGAGCGTCGAAATGAGTGTACGGTAGAAAATACTTAGATGGTGAGGAATGTGACACCGTTCGAGACGTAGGGAGTAGAACGACAGGACGTTGGGCGTCGAGACGTTGACACCTTCGGGATAGGAGGTATTGTAGGATAGACGTCGTTTAGGAAAAGCATTTTAGAAAAGGTACTGACTACTGAATTTGAAATATGACTGGATACAAATATTAAATGAATGCTTGCACATCAAATAATAAAATTGAATGCATGCACATCAAATAATTAAAAATGAATCAATGCATGTACCTCAAATAATTAAAAATGAATGCCCCTGAGCTCATTTGGGTCTGGCTTTTTATAATAAAGTTTTAATGGCTTTGTGACGTCTCTATGTCTTAAGTTCTCATAGAAATACTGTGGGTGCAGGGAGTGGGTTATTTATTATGTGCCTTGAAAGCTTGGTGTATCAAAATATTGTCTTAACATCAAAACCAGCAAGATAAGCGAGTTAAGTGTTTTAATGATAATTACTTCGTGAAAAGAAATACGTTTTCTTGGGCTGGTTCTCAGAGACAGGTGCACAAAACTTGAATCTTTATGGACGTGGTCATAGCTATTACCCAGACAACACACCAAATCCCAGAGATATCCACAGAATATCTTTTGTGGATATCCAATATATCCACAGGATATCAAATATTCCGTGGATCTAATATGGATATCCAAATGTCCGTCTATATCCAGAATATAGAAGATATCCTAATGGATATCCAGCAAAATATCTAATGGGCATCTTCCAGACAATACAAGAAATCCCAGAGATATCCACAGAATATATTTTGTGGATATTCAATATATCCAATATGGATATCCAACCAATTGTCCGTCTATATCCCAGGATATAGAAGATATTCGGATATTCAGCAAAATATTTTATGGGTATCTTTAGTAGAGGTTCATAAGTAACCAATGATTATTGAATAACGTCGAAAGAAAATAGCAGAGATTAAAAATATTTTCAACACTCTGTCTTTGATTTTGCCCACTAAGGAGAAAGTCGTCCTTATTAGGACTCTTCAGCCATAAATGGAAATTCTCGACTCCAGTCTCTAATGGAGTCTGATTAGGACACAAATTTCGATCGAACTCAATTACGGCGGGTCGAGCATGAAAGTGGTATCGCCATCTATACTTAGTAAGCAAAATCAAATAACATCTAGTGGATACCCACGATGGTTTGCGTTCGCGCCTAGACTTTGATATATTTAGTGGATCTCCATGGGATAGGTTACACTACTGAAACGGAACAACTATCGACACCTATTAATAATAGATGAATATCGAAATAGATATCCTCAAATATCGAAATAGATAAGAAACGCCATTTTTAGTCCAATTTATATTTAAATTATTAAAAATAGAGAATTCACCATTTTAACCCGTTACAAACAAGAAACAATGGAGTTTCTAGAAAAGGATGGTATAGACTATATTGATGAAATCATAAATGCATGTATAGTGGAACTGGAATATACAGCTGTTTCTCCATTCTCATTCAAAGCGAATCTTTTAACTTTTCCGCCTTTAAAAGTAATGTTTTTTACAAATCGTCGCCCTTATCACGAAGTGGCATAAGTAGCAAATAGTAAATTTTACAGGAAAGCAATAAAACGAAAATACGTAATTACAGGTCGACATAATATAGAGGGATTTAGAGTTTGCGCTTTCAAAATTTTATCATGGAATGCTATGGCCTTGTTTTATTGTTTGGTAATTCCAGATTAGCCAAACTCCTTCGGGATTTTTTAGAACAGTCGTTCGTGAGGAAAATATTCTGCGTTATTGCAGATAGGACACAGAAGTAATATGCTGTAATGCATGCACTATTAAGGTTGTAGATGTGCCACTTCGTGAGATGATAAAGTAGGTCAAGACTAGTTAATCCGCACAAAAAACATTTTTTTAATTTTTGTTGGTTAGGTCACTTCGTGATAAGGGGCGACGATATATTTCGTCAACAATCAAAGTTACATAATTTTTATTAGGACTGAGTTTTGTGAGCTTATCAGTTAAATGTTTTATGCGAGTTTCGTATATTCCAGAATTTTTTGTGCCAAGTTTCATTAGTAGATGCTTTAAATGCCTTGGCGATGGAAGTGTCAATATAGTTGGTTTTTCTCTACAAGACAATAAACATGTAAAAAATACAGCGAATTTTAGTGTTTCTCTAGAGAGTAGCGAACAAGTTTTGAATTAATTAAATTTAATTGTTAATGGCAAAATTTTATTTTGGCTAGTTTGTTAGTGTTTTCGGTTTCATTCTTAATTGTGCTTAACATTATTCAAACGCATTTGAAATAGTATATTACATTACGAGTGTGGAAAGTGACATTTTTCACACAAGTGATGTACAATATTTTTCCTACGACCACAAAATAATGTCATCAAAAAAATGTAAAACCAAGGTTATTATTACTATAATAATTAAAATGTATTTAAAAAAATAATCAACAATAATCGTATTTATTCAATTTTCATATTTTCTAAACAAAAAAAACTAAAAAAAATAAAAAAAAAAAAAATAAAAAATAAAAAAAAACAAAAAAAAAATTCTGCCCCGACAGGATTTGAACCATAGATTGAACGCGGTCGAAAAATGGCAAAATTGATAAGTTCGACGTCCTAACCAGCTGAGCTAACAGCCCTTGTGTCAATTGAATGATCTAATCGGTTATGTATTTAACCAAAATAAAGAGCAAACATTATTTTAAAATTATTTTAATAATAATTGTTAAAGATAAATATCTAGGATCTAATTTACAACAATTTCAATAATTTAACAATCATATCGATTTTAGTATTAATATGGATATTACATAGATCAAAATAGAAATTAGCTTACAAAATAATATCAAAAAAATGTAAAACCAAGGTTATTATTACTATATTAATTAAAATGTATTTAAAAAAATAATCAACAATAATCGTATTTATTCAATTTTCATATTTTCTAAACAAAAAAAAACTAATAAAAAATAAAAAAAAAACAAAAAAAAAATTCGGCTCCGCCAGGATTTGAACCATAGATTGAACGCGGTCAAAAAATGGCAAAGTTGATAAGTTCGACGTCTAAACCAACTGAGCTAATGGGCCTTACGTCAATTGAATGATCTAATCGGTTATGTATTTACCCAAATTAAAGAGCAAACATAATCTTAGTTATTTTAAAATTATTTTAATAATAATTGTTAAAGATAAATATCTAGGATCTAATTTAAAACAATTTCAATAATTTAACAATCATATCGATTTTAGTATTAATATGGACATTACATAGATCAAAATAGAAATTAGGCGTTTGACATTTTTTGACAACTACTGCGGAAAGTAACATATTCTCACTTGGGTGGAAAGTAAATTCTTAGTCATACGCGTGTGATATAGGACACTTTCCATAGGACTATATAGTGTGATATGTGTCACTTTCCTAAGTGGTCGTAGGAAAAGATCGTATCTGCTATATACTATTTCATAATATCTTATGTATTCTAAAAAATTCAATAAAATATTTCGATTCACATCTTGCTTTTTCCAAAATTTCTGTAATATTTTTGTTTATTTCAATATTTTTATAAAAATAGCATATATTTAAATCGTCGCTTATAAGTACACACTTTTCTATGTATGGTATTCCTAAATTGTTTTCACTTTTAGTTAAATTATATATAAATATTTTACTCTGAAATATTTTATATTGAAAGTAAAGGTTAAAGTTCTCAATTTTATCGGTAAAATTAGTAGTTAAATTTTCAAAGTTATTTATCGCATCCTTCTGTTGTTTTTTAATTTCTTCTAACTTATCCCGCTTCTGATACTCTAAACATCTTGTATCAGGAGTTTTTCGCCGAAACTACAGCCGAAACTCTTATTTTAGGCCGAAACGGTATCCGAACCTTAGATAGGACACTATTGATTTTTGAAACATCCACTCCAATACACAGTACTTACATTTTTTTCCAAAAAATATAATAATCTTGAAATTACTTTTCACATAAAACATTATATGCAATTATATTATCCTAAACTGCTAAAACAATATTTAAAACTCTTTATTTTTTGAGAGACTCGTATCAAAATAAGTTTTTATTGATTTACTCAAATAACGGTTACTTTGTTTTGAAACGTGGCAACCGAACACTAAAAATAAAACAAAGATCATTCTCATAATTTTTATATTAAAATAAAACAACAGCTATACTTTTTAATATGGACACCCTATTGAGACGTAAATAACAAAACTCGTTATTCACAACTCTATTTATTAATCATTTAATACCCTTTTCTACAGACGTGCATCCCCTCTATTTATGAATAAAGAACAGAAGTGTCATTTACCATTTCCCATAAAATACAAACATTTTGACAATTGGAATGAGAGTGTATTTTTTTACTACTAACATGAGAAATCACCATTATTTACTTCATTCCTGTAATGAGAAGTAACATTTCTCACCCTAGGTAAATAATGACAATAAAAAAAACATCCCGTTCGTTATTGATAGATAGAAATACAGTTATAAGGGTACAAACACGATATCATCGATAATAAGCTCGGTAATAATTATCATGTCTAAAACGGACATGTTTTCCCCCGAATTACCGACCATATTTTCGTATACAGATTCGGAAATAAAACATACAGTAGGTATTACGAATCTATGCGAGCATAAGAGAACTACAATGATGTATCCACACTCACGTATTGGGGACAGCACTAATCATTTGTAATTGCTTAATTGCTGTGGTTGGAGGTGTTTGTGTGAATGCGTCTCGTTTGTTTTCATTTACGCCGTGACTAGCAGTAGTATTTTATAAACCTTAAAAGCAAATTTCACATACATAAACAAATAATAATAATGCCGTGACAACAAGAGAAGACGAAGCAACGACTTCTCGTAGGGTGGCGGTTTCGCCGCCACCAGAAAATTTTAATCCATACCTGGCTACGCCGACAGGCATAAACACCAACGGCCTGAACACAGCTTACCTACTCTGTCAAAAGGAGACCGATGTACAAATAAAACGCGTACGACATGCGCACTACAAATGAGCTGCGGTCTGCGGTTGTTAGACGCTCTCTCTTAGTTATCGAGTTATTAGTTTTTCTTTACTCTTTGGATGTTCGTGTATACTGTAGGTATTTTCTTTCCGAATCTGTAAAATGCAACTAAAAACTACATAAAATCGTATATACAGTACGAGGAATGATTATTTGAAATATCGTGCGTGATTTTTAATTCCTTACATAATAAATAATAATAGTCTTCCCAATTCACCCCCCTTACGAGTGAATTTTAACCCCTGAAGCCGACTGAGCTTGTATGCAACCCTGGCAAATGCAGGTATGCAGTTAAACGTATTTCAAATTCCCGAGAAAAAGATTCCGTTGGCAGCAAACACCTGCCGACAGCAAACCGCGCGAAATAAATCTTTCACTTTGTGGAAAATTCCGATTAATTAAATTTAAGCACCAACTCGTTCCCACTCGCAAACCTATTTCACTCGCACCCGCATTGGCATGTTTAAAATAAATCGTTAAATATATACACAGTGCCACATACATACCTTTTTTACTCAACAAGACGATACGATTAGACACACACATAGAACGATTCGAGCCTCCAAACAAGCATCGACTAATTTAATATCTGCGCCATTAGTCGCATTTTTTTACATCGAAACAATATAAAAAGATATTTTAAACTATCATGTTTTAAAAAACCTAATTACCTACATGTAAAAGTTGACAGCTCACAGAAGCAGTCACTTTAATTTCTACATCCCAAGGCAATTTATCACCGAGACTACAGGATTTCATCAAAAAATATAGACCACGAACTACCCTGTATACAGGTAGGATCTCTTACATAGGCAGCGAAAATTTAAGAGAAAAAATCGCCCCTGCCAACATCTTTTGTCGAGCACATTATTTCAAACCTTCGATCTACAAGATACCGAGAATTTCTAGATTCCAGAGCAGGAAACCATCAGATAAAAACGCAAATAGAGGTACATCATCATGAAAACCAGCGAATAGAAAAATCGTCTCTTTTCATTATTAAAATAACCAAAAAAGGTTGACAGCTGTGTGCACGTAGTTTAGATTCAAAAGAAAAAACTTGTATTTCGTGCGAAACTTTTTTATTAATCAATGCAAAGCGCTTTCGGCTTATTTGCCATCATCAGTGCTCATCTACAAAAATTGTGGATGTAAACTTACAATTTAAAAAGATTTTAAAAAATATATTATAAAATCTGAATTAGACTTTTAAGTCAAAAGTTAAAATAGTATATCGACGATGTCAATGCAATACCTCGTATCTCCATTTTTGCTAAAAATGAGTTAATTGATGAACATGAGAGCACTTAAGGTCATGACACTATTAAAAATGAAATTTGAATGTCCCGCGTCGCCGTTATTCGGCAAATTACGGTAACTGATGTGCAATACCTCGTATCTCAATGATAATGGCATCTTTTGTAACAAGTGCGTGAAGAGTGTTCCCTTTTATTGGCTCAGAACTGGTAAGTTATCGTTTACTTTTATTTATTTTTGTATTTACAAATAATAATATAAAGTAATAATTAATTTGTATGGTAGTATTGCTTGAATAACTGCGTAATACCTTAGATTTAACTACTTAAATAGTGTTAGGTCAGATACGTGGTACTGACTTTGACAAAATATTGTTCACTTCGGGAGATACGAGTTATGACTGTGTCTAAAAAAGAACTGACGTAGATACGTGGTATTGACTTTGCTAAAATGAAATTTAGTTTAGGGAGATAAGAGTTATTCCTTATTTGTTTTTTCATTGGAATTAGCATTAAATTAATATAAAAAACTGGTTGCAGGTATATTGTAGGTAGTAGGTCTAATATTTTGATCAATTCCTGTCCAATTTGAATAATTTTTGTTTCGGTTTTAAAAGTAAGGAATTTTTTTATGCAAACTTTTCAAAGAGTTGTTTTGGGTTTTTTTCGTGTTGTTATAAATTTAATTTTTTTTTATAGATTCATTCAATTGCTGACAATATGCGGGGAAAAAAAATAGTTGAAATGTGCAAAAATATTGTCTCAGAACAAGAACAAGGTTAGTTAAAATCATTAGTTAATTGTTAATTTTTTATTGGAGATATTTTTTCAGATTTTAATTTAATTTCTGAACAGAATGGAGTAAATATTTCGGATCTTATTGAAGAAGCCGAAATAATTTTTGAAGATCAACTTCCGAGTTTAAATTTTCCTAATAATCAGATTATCGATGTTGTTGAAAATGTTGATACGACGATAAATCAAGAGAGCGTGCTTTCAGATATTGCTTCTGAAAATAAAGATGCGCAGATGTATTGTCCATTATCTCGAAAACTTGTGTTGGCTGACAAGGAAAACAATTTTGATGATATTAATAAATATAACAATGAAAGTTTTGTACCTCCCAAAATAAACAGTGAAGAAATTGAATCGAATAAGGAAAATGACTTTCACCCAATTTTGGAAGAAATTAATGAACATTTTGAAACCTCTTCGGAAGACAGTCACAGTAATAATAGTTCAGAAAATGATCAGTCTGATGAAGAATAAAACACTAAATCAAAACGTAAAATAAATAAAGAGTTAAGAATGAAAGGAAAGGCTTTTGTAGGGTTTAGACGACCAAGTAACCAAAAAAGGACGTTCCAAGATATTGGACGAGATGAAAGAACGTTGGGCGCAAGATGCACCTCCGAGGTCTGCAAGAAGTCTTCGAAAAGAAAATGCAGCGAAATAACAGAAGCAACAAGAAAGCAAATATTTGCAGCTTTTTGGAATGAGTTAAATTGTGAACAAAGAAAGGTTTATGTTGCAAATCTTGTTTTAAAACAAGAGACGCAAAGAAAAACAAAAAATGATGATAATCCTTCGCGACGTTCCTCCACATTTTTCTACCGATTAAATTTAGGCGAGACTACTATGCCTGTATGTAAAAATATGTTTCTCATGACTTTAGGACTTAAAGAGTGGACTGTAAAAAGCTGGGTCGAGAAGTCTTAATATGGAATATTGTCCAATGTAATAAATAGAGATAAACGTTTTTCGCCTAGAGCAACTCAGAACGACAACATTATTCCGACATTTCTAGAAAAATTACCCAAACTTCCTATTGTCGCAAGGACACAAAAAAATTATATTTGGAGCAAGATTTCTGTAGTTACTCAGATTTGTATAAAGCTTTTGTAAAATACTCAGAAGAAAAAAATATTTCACTTGCAAGCAGAAATACTCTTATTAAATGGATTCAAAAAATTAACATTGGTATATTTAAGCCACGAAAAGATTTGTGTGATACATGTGTCGAATATGAGAATGAAAATATAAGTCAAGAAGAATGGGAAAAACATAGGAAAAGTAAAGACAGGGCCCAAAAGGAAAAATTAACGGACAAAGAAAAGGCTATTGAGGGTTTAATCCATGTAGTTACAGTGGATTTGCATGCAGTAAAAACATGCCCTTATCTACAGGCAAGCTCACTTTATTTTAAAACTAAATTGGTTTGCCACAATTATACAGTGTATGATTTATGTACACATCATTGTACTTGCTACTGGTTTAGCGAAATTGATGCAGATCTACAAGCATCGACATTTGCTTCTTTATTAGTGGACTACATAAAGAGAAAGTATCTGCAAGACCCCGAAAACAAAAAAGAAATTGTAATCTACTCTGATGGGTGTACCTATCAGAATAGAAACAGTACTTTGGCAAACGCATTGCTTAGTTTATAATGTCAATACAGTATAACAATAACTCAGAAATTTTTGGTAAAAGGACATTCCCAAATGGAATGTGACAGCGTACACGCAACAATAGAAAAAAAACTGAAGAATAAAAATATTGAAATACCAAATGATTATCACCGTCTTACAGAAGAAGCCCGTCAGAAACCGTTCCCGTATGAAGTGATAGCCCCAGCATTTAATTTTTTTCAAAATTTCAATTTGAATCTCATCTATAATTCTATCCGCCCAGGTAAAAAAGCGGCAGATCCTATGGTAACTCAAATAAGAGCTCTAAAGTATGAACATGGTCTTATAAGTTATATCCTTGACTTTGACCAAGAGTTTGTGCCACTGCCTCATCGCCCAAAAACAACTGTTCCAAATAGAATTATCAATATCAAAGAAAAAGTTTGATGATTTACAAGCTATTAAAACAAAAATAAATCGAAACTACTGGCCATTTTACGACACTTTGCTCACAGTTTAGTAACTTGAAAACTATGTTTATATAAACCAAAATTTTTTATCACAGTTTAATGTTTATTTTTATATTAATAAAATAGAATAAGTTTTAGTTTGTGTTATATTGTATTTTAATATTCTTAAATAAATAAATAAATAAATAGGTAAAAATTATCCATACAATGATAGGCGAATACAAACCAATGGAATTAAGCAAAATTTAATTAAAATTGTAATAATTCTATTTTTTGCTATAATTATTGCCTACGTGTGCATTTTTATATTTTTTATTAATTTTATCTTAACTTATCATTATTATTTTATTATTAGTCTGTTGAAACCTATCAACGTGTTTCATTAATTTTTTTTTTTAATTTTCCTCCCACTTTAAACAATACCCCGTATCTCAAGAAAATGACATTTATTATTGTGCAATAACACGTATCTAACGATTTTTTAAAATAATACTAAAATTATTAAAAATAAATTTAAATAATTATTTTTAATTTTGTCCAAACTCTATAAGCCATCTGGTAAAAAGCAAGATCTGTTTATAAATCAGCAATATAAAAATGTCGTTTCCTGAAAATGTGGCGTTTTGCAGATACGAGCTATTGAATTGACATCGTCGATATATACAATTGTTTGAACAAATTAAAAATTACAAGAAACAAACAAAGTGACAATATTTGATATCAAATATTGTATTCTAGATTCAAATTTCAATATATCTTCCACAGTCACCCTCTAATTGTAAATTTCTTTAAATTTTAACTAATTTGTTAACCTTTTTTCAATTTTGTGAATAGTGAGGGTGGCATGATTCCTTAATTCCACACAAGCTAACTTGCTTCTGGAGATCAGATTTGATTTGTAAGGGCTTATCCCACACTCACTATTCCCAATACCAGTTTTTTGTCACTTTGTTTGTTTCTTGTAATTTTTAATTTGTTCAAACAATTGTATATATACTATTTTAACTTTTGACTTAAAAGTCTAATTCAGATTTTATAATATATTTTTTAAAAACTTTTTAAATTGTGAGTTTACATCCACAATTTTTGTAGATGAGCACTGATGATGGCAAATAAGCCGAAAGCGCTTTGCATTGATTAATAAAAAAGTTTTGCACGAAATACAAGTTTTTCCTTTTGAATCATCTCTTTTCAGTTCATAAATATTGTTGTCTTACACCTCTCATTTACAAATTATTCTGATTTAATTAAAAATAAATTTGTTGTATATGCATCCTTTTTTATTGCTTAAATGGTTCAAAAGTCACGCATGGGACCTCAAATAATTCTTAGTATTGATAATATAGTTACATATATTACGAAGCAATTTTTACAAAATATTTTTTATTTACTAAACAATTTATAAAATTTACGTTTTCACAACAATGTATGTACTTTTAACACATATAGAACGTTTACGTTTACAAAATATTACAATTTACTGTTCCATTACAATAACAATTTATAAAATACGATACCTTTACACTATTTAAATTTTCTAAAAAAATTAGTCACATAGGCATATGTGCTTAATACGACATACAAATATTTCTATCACATTCAGAATTCAATAAATATTTTTAAATAAAATATCCTAATGAAATCTTAAAATTGTATAAAATGTATATGGGTAATTATTTTTGATTGTTTTTTTAACAAGAAAAGTAAACACTATTAATACATTTTTTTAAGACCGACCAGAAAATATCCACTTTCTGGACAATTTTTCGTCCAGAAAGTAACGTTTTGGCGGTCTAGACCAGAAAGTAGACTCTAGGGACCGGTAAAAATAGTCGTTACCGGTCCCTCTTTTTCAATTTTTCCAATCGCTGTTTGATAATCCAGGCTGCCTTGCAATTTATTGTCAAGTGACAGTTCGTTGATTTTTAATTTATTGTTTATGACAAACTTGATTTGTGAGTTTTCAAATTTACAAATAATATGGATTCAGATGCTGAAAATGAAATTCCACAAGATATTTTAGAAAGCTATTTACGATTTATTACAAATAAAATCAAAAACCCGCTATGAAAAGACATACGATTCATTTAAAAATTGGTGCCGAGAAAAAAAAAGTAAAAAATGTAAACGAAGAAGTGCTTTTGGCATATTTTGCCGAAAAATCACAAAAACTTGCTCCTTCATCATTATGGAGCCTATATTCCATGCTGAAATCTACGATGACTGTAAAAGATAATGAAAATATCAACAATTTTTTCAAATTAATAGAGTTTATTAAAAAGAAATCGGTTGGTCATATAGCAAAGAAATCTAAGATTATGTCAAGAGAACAAATCGAAACATTTCTAAACAATGCTCCCGATATCGAATATCTTATGCTTAAGGTAAGTTAAAATCAAAGAAACGAAGTAAAAACTAATTACAATAAATTTTAATTCTATTCTAGGTTCTTTTAATTATGGGTTCCACAGGTGCATGTCGCCGCGAAGAACTCGATAATATGACACTTAATGATATCGAGTATAAGGAAACAATGTTGATAGTTAAAATCCCCATAACCAAAACGAATACCACCAGAACGTTTATTGTAAATTCCCAAAGAGATTTGCAACTTTATAGGAATTATTTGCAATTGAGACCACCGCATACCAACCATAAACGACTATTTATTTTTTTTTAAATGGGAAGTGTTCAACCCAAGCAGTAGGTTTGCATTCTGTGGGAAAAGCCCCTAGCAAAATCGCCTCCTATCTTAAATTGGAAAATCAATGCGAATTCACAGGTCACTGCTTTCGTCAAAGCTCAGCGACTCTGCTAGTAGATGGAGGGGGTGATATTATAAATTTAAAACGGCACGGAGGATGGAAATCCTCAACCGTTGCAGACGGTTACCTTGAAAATTCAATGAAAAACAAAATATGCAGCAAACTAATTTTGTTAGTACCGCTACAAAAAACATAACAATTCCCAGTATTTCAGACACATCTTCCCTTCAGATATTTAACGTTCACAATTGTACATTTAACATAAATATTCAAAAATAATGTATTTGGCCAATTTAGGCATTATCTAGTTTCTGTTTAGTTGTATGTAGTATTTGTTGATTATTACTTAATTATAACTATAAAATAAAATAAATAAAATTAGTTTACATTAAAAAGTCGGTCTTAAAAAAATGTTGTACGTCACACGACCGGAAATTAGTGTTTTACAGGTCTCACCAAGCTTCCAGGACTCGCCTACGGCTTGCCCTGCAATCTGCTTGTCTCGACTTGTAAAACACTACTTTCCGGTCTTGTAACGTAAATTACTATTTTTTAAATCTAAAGTGATACGCAATGTTTCTAAATGTTGGATTTGTTTTAGGAATTCTTATACTAAACTGTCCATGGACTAAACTTCATTCTATGGCTAGTTTTCAAGAAAAAAAAATATTTCTACCAATAAATAAAAAGAGGGGTTTTATCCCTAGCTGACATATGATGTCTAATAATAACTTTCTTAAGATGGCAGTATAAAAATTTAAATTTTTTAAATAAATCATTTTGGTATGTACACAGAAAAAAAATTACTTTTACTTATAGTCCAGGGCATTTAGATCCAAATCGACCGGAATAGCGGAAATTTTTAGGGTCAGCAGATATCGAGATGCGGTTTTCTGCAGTGTGTTCAGGAAGGTTCCAGGAAAAAAGTCTATATCGTCTGGTTTAGCCATTTTTTGAAAAATTTCTTCTGAGCCGGAAAATTCATTTTCCAATTGCATCATTACTTGCACCATTATTGGAACGACTGGAAACTCGGTAAAAATCGCTCGGAAATCGTTACTCGAGGGTTTTCGGGGCTGCCGAACTCGATTCTGGCATTAGAATTATCCGGAGGTGCACAAGGGTGGCTCTGTGGGGGTGTGCGAGGGGTGCATGAATTGGGGAGAAATGGCAGCGTTCATGAAAATCGCTCCAATCTCGTTAGTCAGGGGTTTTCGGGGATGTTGAATTTAATTCTGGCATTGGAATTACCCGGGGGCGGCTCTACGGGGGTATCCGGGGAGTTATTCTGGGGGGAAATTACATAGTCCATGGGAAGCGCTCCAAACTCGTTACTTGGGGGTTTTCGGGGATTCCGAATTCAATTCTGGCATTAGACTTCCCCGGGGGCGCTCGGGAGTGGCTCTGTGGGGTTGTCTGGGGGTGATTGGGGGGAAATGGCAGCATCCATGAAAATCAGTCCAAAATCGATACGCGGGGGTTTTCGGGGATGCCGAATTCAATTATGGCATTAGGCTTCCCCGGGTGCGCTCGAGGGTCCCTCTGTGGGGTTGTTTGTGGGCGATTGAGGGGGAAATGGCAGCGTCCATGAAAATCGCTCCAAAATTGTTAACCGGGGGTTGTTTATAATGCGTAATTCAACATTAATAAAAACTCCTATTTGTTATTTGAATAAAGTATTATTTTCATAATTTGTGATTTTTCACTTTCTCCTTTACCATTTCCCACAGAGCCACCCCCCGAGCGCCTCCGGGGAAGTCTAATGCCAGAATTGAATTCGGCATTCCCGAAAACCCCCCGAGTAACGAGTTTGGAGCGCTTCCCATGGATTATGCAATTCCCCCCCCCCCAGAATGACCCCCTGGATACCCCCGTAGAGCATCCCCCGGGTAACTCCAATGTCAGAATTCAATTCGGCATCCCCGAAAACCCCTCAAGTAACGAGTTTTTAGCGATTGTTATGCACGCTTCTATTTCTCTACCGATTCACCCCCCGTGCACCTCCACAGAACCACCCCCGTGCACCCCCGGGTAATTATAATGCCAGAATAGAGTTCAGCAGCCCCAAAAAACCCCCGAGTAACGATTTACGAGGGATTTTTCCGAGTTTCCAGTCGTTCCTATAATGGTGCAAGTAATGATGAAATTGGAAAAGCATTTTCCGGCCCAGAAGGCATTTTTCAAAAAATGGTTAAACCAGACGATATAGACT